TAATACAGCCTACCATACACATCCATTTTGAACTTGGTACCATCCTTGTGGAACAGCCAGTTATCACCGTCCTTGAAGTGGACCTCGGCTCCGTTGGCTGTCGCTGCTTTGACTGAAAAGATGTTTTGTGGAAACGATGGGATGTAGAGTGCTTGCTTGAGCCTCGTTTTCACTTGTTGTCCCTCGCTGTCCAGCAAGTAGACTTCGGCGTCTCCCCTCATCTTCGCCATCCCGCTCACCTTGGTCCCGTCGGCAAGCTCGACCATGTGGTCCTCGGGTCTGAAGCTCTTGTCCACTGTTTTGAACTTTGTGGCGTCGTTGATCATGTGTGTTGTGGCGCCACAGTCGACCATTAGACCCTTTTTGTTTCCTCTTTGTGTAGGACAGTCACTCGCGTTAAAGAAGCAGAAAGATGTAGGCTCTGCAACCGTCTCTCCGTCAGCTTTCTTCACATGGTCACGGCCTCGTCCTCGACCGCGTCCCCTTCCTCGCTGTGGTGTGTCCCATTTTCGTTCCTCTCTTCTCGCCTGGGATTCGTCAGGACATGTTCTGGCCATATGACCCTTTTTACCGCACGTGTAACACTCGACATCAGCCAGATTAATTTTCTTTCCTCTCCCTCTTCCACGGGACCACGTTACCCCGCTAGTCTTCATCACGTTGTCTTCTTCTACATTCACGTCACTCTTTCCATATTTTTCAGTACTCTCATAACTTCGCAGTTTTGTTTTAAACTCACCGAGCGTTACAATGTCATTTGTCTGGGTGATGTGCATGACGAATGGCTTGTATGAATCAGGTAGCCCCTTTACTACCATGGCTATTTGAAGCCCATCACTAATATGCTAATAAGTCTGCTCTTCTCAATGACGTGAATATAGTCTCTGCTCGAATAATATAGTCAGTGATTGTTTCATTGCCAGCCTTATGGAGCGAGGAAAGTTCACAATACAAACTCACAACGCGGGGTTTGTCCTTTCCGGCATAGTGCTCGCGAAGAATCTCCAGTGCTCTTCTTCCATTACGTTTAACGTCCCTCATTACCAATGACAAACTCTTGTTGTCCAGACATTGCACTAGCTCTGCATATGCCTCTCCGTCTTCCTCATCTATCTGCGGCTCCTCCAAGATAACTTCTCTGAGGCCGCGCAACTCCATATGCGCCAGGAACCTCGTTTCCCAGAGTTCATAATTTTTCTCGTCACCGTCAAATAAAAGTTTGAACCACCTTTGGCCTGCATGACTGGGCCCATAACCTGTAGCGTTAGTCATTTCTGCAGCAGTCTATCGTTATCACAGTCACCAAAGTGATTAGCTAGCACCTGCTAGTGGCTAATATTCACGGGAGAAAAAGGACAGACCGCCATCGTCTCTTTGGTCTGAACTCACACTGACCGTTTATTCTGCGCATGCTCACAATAGCATCCTTGTGCGCGCAGGCACATGACATCACTGCTTAGGCTATTTAACATGGCTTTGCTACTCATAAAATATGCTTAACACTAACGTTAGCTAATATTAAGTTACCTGTTACATCAGTTAGTTAGCAGTTAGCTAACCTAACAGTCTGACAACTTACAGTCTAAATTATGGATTTGAACACAAACATTACCTCAGGTTATTAACTTATAACAGGGCAATGTTTTATAAGTATAACAGTTATAAGGTGAAGTTCATGTTAGGAGAGCAAACAGATCGTGACTCTTCCACGGTGTCCATATTCACGTTTTTGTTGTTTTGTTCTCCGTTGAAATCCCACAACTCAAATTCACTCAAATAATAATTTGGCGTGCAGATGTAAAATAATCCAGATAATGATCCACATAATTCATTATAGTGGACCTACAGAGTCGCTCTGAAGTCCTGCAGCATTCAAACTGACGTACTTTCAAATGAAGGCGCGCTCAGTGCTCATTGGCCAGTTTCCTGGATGACAGCCACATTGACCAATCAGACTCAAAGCAACATGGTGAGACAGCCAATAGCAATTGTTTCAGCGGGATAACTCACAGAAAGATGACTTCAGAATCAAAATCATAAATCAAATATTTTAGTGACCCCAAAATTGGGAAATACCTTTGTATTATTCATAATAATAATAATAATAATAATAATAATAATAATAATAATAATAATAGCAGCATCAGTTAAGTCCACACTAAATCACATATAGCAAAAAGTTTCTGCTGCACTGCTTTCTTCATGTTGGATTTTTTTTTTTAATCTTAATTCATTGTAAATCTGTGCACAGAGCTTTGATGTCTCTCTCTGTCTCTCCATCTCTTTCTGTCTGTCTGTCTCTGCCTCTTTCTCTCTTGAATGTAAAACCACAACTAATGAGATTAACCTTAAAATTGCAGAAAAAAATCTTAGTTGTCAGTATGGAAATAAACCTTTATATAACGAGCAAAACATTTAATAACGGTCAAATATCGTAATTATTATTGTAATTTTCTGTAAAAAATTGGGAAATAACTGTAGTTTGTCATTATTGGCATAACACATAAAAAAACAGGCGGGTTGTTAATTTACAGATAACATCTGTAATTTTACTTTTTATTTACACTTTCTTAAAAAAAAACCGGAAAAACTAGGATTTTTTTGTGTGCAAAAGTGCATCTTAACAAACAAAGACAAGGTAAAGGATAAAGACATGATGGCTTCTAGCTAAGGCTGATTCAATATATCCAATATTAATGTTTGCTGTAATTATTATTATGGAACTATAAAATGTCCTCCATGTTCCCAGAATAAAGACTAAATCTTCAGGTGATCCAGCTTCTTTCTACTGTGACCTGCCTTGGTCTCACAATGGTGTGAAGAACTGAAACTGGACATTCAGCAAACATTTCTCTGAGGCAGAAACAATGTCATTGGTTACATTAAACTTTGGTAGGCAGAGAATCTGTAAAAAGGATTTTCTCTGGCCCCTCCCACTGACATTGAACTCAACCAATGAGATTGTTTCTGTCTCCAGAGCAGAAATGTTTGAGGAACTAAAAGCACAATCAGCTTGATGTTGAGGAGAAGGGCTGTGCAGCAGAGAGGCTCTTTAGTTTTTTCATTCTACTGCAGTGGAAGAACATTGCTCATCTGCTGTCAGTTTGACTTTAACAACTCCAAAGACATGTTGCTTTACCTCTTTTTACTTTTCTCTCACTTTATAGGTGAGTGTTAGAACAGAGATCAAAGTCTCATTTAACCTGCTGTGTTAACCAGATATTTGGTACTAGAGCTTTATCTGTGTAAGGTTACAATTTCCATGGTAGAAAAATACATTTGGTTTATTAAATTTATCTAAAACGATGAAAGAAAAATAACTTGTTGATGTCAGAATGTCTTGCAGACTAACTGACATGAATAATACTCATTTTGCAGCCCTGGGTTCCATGAACATCATAAAGCCAGACAGTACTGAAGAACATGTTGCAGAGGGAAGAAACATCAACCTGACCTGTAAATATGATGGTGCTATCAACAATATCCAATGGTACCGACAATACCAGAGATCCAGACCAGAGTTCCTGCTCTCCATCACAGAGGGAGGATCGATTCATCCAACTGATTCTGATTTCAAAGCTCACATTAACAAAACCGAGAAACGTGTACATCTGGAGATCATCTCAGCTAAAGTGACAGACTCTGCTGTGTACTACTGTGCTCTGCAGCCCACAGTGACAGGAAACACCCAAACTCTGTACAAAAACCTTTGGAGCAAAGACAACAGAATACTCCACAACATCCACTAGAGGGAGTCACACACTGTTAAACATAAATGCTATGTGATAATAGGGTCTGACAGGACTGAGATGTAAAGCTTTAGAAATTAAACTACTGACACTGCATTGTAAATTAAATTTCATCAAGATAACCAAGGTAACATCAAAATAAAAACGATTATACCTTTCAGATATAATAAAGCACACTTCTTTATGAAGCAGTGAAGCAGTAAAGATACAGCACAAAATAAGGGAAATGTTACACATAAAGTCACTTTAACATGTGTGTAACATTTCACATTTCATCTCTCCATTGATGTTACACATACTAATGTAATATTTGACGCTGAGCTTCCTTTTCATTGACGGACTAAAGTTGTACTGTGATGATGATTTTATTTTTAAAAATTCTTACATTTACAAACCCTGAAAAAGGTGATCCATCCTTTAAATCACTAATTTAAATCCAGTAAAAAAAGAATCATTAACAGAAAACTTCCCACCTCCAGCTTTTGGAAAATGCTGCTACCAGTCTGTTAACCAGGAGGAAGAAAATACAGATCTAAGAGGAGAGGGAGAGATTCAGGGAGGAGCTAAGCTGTTACTGAACTATAGAAGAGAGAGGAACTTCCATATTCAGCAGAGTTCAATACACAAACCAGAAACATTACCTTCATTCAACATGCTGTCACTGCATCATTGTGTGTTTTCTCTACTGTTTCTGTACTTTATAACAGGTATATTACATGCATCAAGATGGAGTCTTAGTGTTTGCAACTGTTACAACATTGTATAACAGAGTTATCTCTTCCTTTAGGTGTCAGCTGTGAAGAACTCACTCCAAGAAACAAGAGTTTAGTTTCAAAGACAGCACTGTTACTCTGTCCTACAATTATTACAAAGGTAATGATGATTATTTTTTCTGGTATCGACAATATCCAGGAAAACCACCAGAGTTCCTCATCTCTCATCTGAAATCAGGAGAAATCCTTGCAAAACCAGTCTCTGGAATGTCTGTTAAAGTGAGTGAGGATAAAACCCAAATGGATCTGCAGATCTCCTCTGCTGCAGTGACAGACTCTGCTCTGTACTACTGTGCTGTGAGGCCCACAGTGACAGCAAACCCACAGTCTCTGTACAAAAACACAAGCTGACACACTGACAAGCTGCTGGAAGCCTTTTTCCACACTGTTGGACTCAACTTTTTAGCTCCACTAGAGGGCGACATTATCAAGTAGGCGGTGCACTACTTCTGCACTGTGTTCAACCATTCTGTCAATAATAACTGCTGCTGTGAAGAGAACAATTGTCACACTGAATGTTGAACATCAGCTAGTTTCTCCTGTTGATTTAAACCTTGTTGTAGAGATGGAACATTGGCTGTGGATTATTCTTGCTGCTCTTTTCTTTGGTAAGATAGAAAGCACAACATGTTTTTATTCTTTTCTAAAGATTGATGGAAACTGGAGTTCAGAGCAGAAATCTCTCAACAGTTGAGCTGTTTCTGTCCACAGAGTAACACTGTACACTTGATATTTTCCACTGTCTTCTCCTCTCAGCCTCATGAACAATGTTAGTCTAATGGCTTCATTTTCTCCACTTTTTCCAGGACTAATAGCTGGAGACACAATCTCTCCTGTAGGAGATAAAGTCAGTGGAAGAGAAGGAGAATCTGTCACACTCAAATGTCAATATGAGACAGCTGACAGCAATATTTGGCTTTACTGGTACAGACATTCTGACCTTCAGGCTCCTCAGTTTATACTCTGGAAAGGAGCAAGATCCTTGAGTAGTGCTGAATATATTCCAGATAAACGATATGAATCTAAAACAACAGATTCATCAACTGAACTGACCATCAGAAAACTAACCCTGGCAGACACAGCTCTCTACTACTGTGCTCTAGAAACACAGTGATACAAAGTGTAGAAGAGGCTGTACAAAAACCTGAACACAGATATCTGACTACTCTTCAAAGAGGAGGGAAGTGGTATTCAAACCACAGCTTCATATCAGATGGATTCTGCTAATTCCTGTTTTATCAGAGTCACTGTGGTTACAGCTGCTAATGAAACACTGTGGGAGGATTCACATGAGCAGCAAATCCACATCAATGACAAACCAACTGGATGATGCTTCAAACACAAGACACCATGGAAACAAATAAATCAACACTGAAAATTAAAATGAGTGATATGTGACATCTGAACAACAACGTGTCTAACATACATACGTTTAAATAAATCAATTCGTGACCTGAATTATGTATCTAAAGTGCATTTATCATACATTGTTTCATTCCAACAAAATGTCTATTTGTTCCCAACATTTACCAGGTCAGACTGGGTCCGGTATTTTATAGCTCAAATATTCAGTCATATACTGAGCATACTGAGCTGATCTGTTACCAGCTGGACTGGGTACAGTCTGAATATTTCTCAGCAGAAGTCCACCTTTACAGTTTCTGGTCTTTACCATTTTTATTCAGTTTTGTTTTCCATCTGATTGAACTGCAGTAAATGATGGACTGTTTGTTGATTTGTAATCATATAAGACAGGGCTGTGAATGAGGCCTGTCAGTGTGATCAGGCTCCTCCTTCTAATCCACCAACTTAGTGTTGATGAAGACTAAACAGAGAGATCACAGCCTTCTTTCTACTTGCTGTAGCTCACAGTTACTCAACACTGCAGATATGACGCAGCCTCTGTTCATCTCAGTGTTGCTGGCTGCTCTGTGCCTTGGTATGAACACAACTCTGTTTCTGTGATATCAATCCAACATTGACATGATTCTTTAACAGCACACTGATCCTGTTTGTTGCTGTTTTACAGAATGCAGAGCACAAAGAGACAACGTGCTGCAACCAAAAGGAGATGTGACTGCGACTGAAGGAGAGGAAGTAACACTTGACTGTCAATATAACAGCAGTTCACCAAGTAATTATCTCTTCTGGTACAAACAGGATGGAAACAACAGCCCCAAATTCATAATGAGCCGCATTCAACGAGATGAAGGAACCACAGCAGATGAGTTTAAGGAGAGATTTTCATCCACACTGGATTCAACCTCAAGATCAGTTCCTCTGAAGATCCAGAAGCTTCAGCTGTCTGACTCTGCTGTGTACTACTGTGCTCTGCAGCCCACAGTGACAGGAAACACCAAAACTCTGTACAAAAACCTTTGGAGCAAAGACAACAGAATACTCCACAACATCCACTAGAGGGAGTCACACACTGTTAAACTTCAATAGTATGATACAGAGTTGATTCTGTGTATTGGTTATAAAAAGTACATGAAACGAAGGACGGCAGATAACAGACAGAACATTGTATTGCTGTGTCATACAATACAAACTCTAATGATAATGAGGTGTTGAGGGATATTATTTATTTAAACAATACTACGTGTACGTGAGTGTAACAATAAATCCATGTAATGGAGCTTAAATTCAGCTTTGTTCATCAATCCTCTTTGTGAGGCATTCTCTTACATATCCATAACTGCCTCAATGTGAAACAGTTTAAATAATGCAAAGAACATTTATGAGTAAAACATTTAATATCCCAAAAATACTCAACATATTGACAAACAGGGCCGGCCCAAGGCATAAGTGAACTAAGCAGCTGCTTAGGGCCCCCTGACCACTAGGGGGCCCCCAAGAACAATTAACTTAAAAAAGAAAAAAGTAATAAATATGTTTTTTCCATGCGTGAGTGATGATGATTCATATATTATCAAATGTATATTCTTGTCCAACCCCCCCCCCAATAAAAACCCACCAACAACATGATGTTAACAGAGTGTAGTTTCCTACTGACTCTCTGCTCCAACTGTCAGAGCTCTGTTAGTGCCGTGTGCACTGAGCATCCAGGAGCTAGGAGCAGGTGAATGATGTCACAATAAAGGTAATGTAACATTTGGTGTCAGGAGATTTTGAAAAGTTCCCTGAAATTAGGAAAGTCCCTAATTATTGTTGATATTTAAATTTGCTAGCTAACATTAGTTCAAAACGTCGTACTGCTTATGGGACGGTTAGATAGCTTACTATTCAAGCTAACGTTGTTGTGTTTGTGTCATACTTTGAATAAGTTGATTCTCAGTGTATTTATATTATTCTGGGTCGCTTTTTGGCATCAAAACAACGTTCTTGATAACGTTTGATAGCCAATGTTTAATAACTAACACAACGCGGTGACGTTTGCTAGCAATATGGTTTTACATTAATGAATTCATTTAGTTAACTTATAGTTTGAGGTATGTTGTTTGCAATCGTTTGCTGCAGACCACAGTAATTTATGTCTAAATAAACATATTCCTTTTACATTCAATTTTCAATTCAATTTTATTTGTATAGCGCCAATTCATAACAGAAGTTATCTCAGGACACTTTTCAAATAGAGCAGGTCTAGACCGAACTCTTTAAAACATTAATTACAGAGACCCAACAGTACCACCATGAGCAAGACCTTGGCGACAAGGGCAAGGAAAAACTGCCTGTTAAAAGGCAGAAACCTAGGACAGATCCTTCGACTTTAGGTGGGTGGTCGTCTGTCTCGACCAGTTGGGGTGAGAGAGAGAAAGAACAGAGAGAGAGAGACAGAGAGAGAGAGAGAGAGAGAGAGAGAGAGAGAGAGAGAGCAGACAGGTGCACAGCAACAACAGTATTGGCAATGGCAATCTAGCAGGACCATGGCAGGAGGCTCCACCAGGATCGATAAGAACCTGCGAGACGAGAAAGCACAAGAACTCCGGGGAAGAAGTGAAGTTAGTAACATGCATTAATGGAACATGAATGAGTGCAGAAAGAGAGAGAGGAAGAGAGGAGCTCAGTGCACCATGGGAAATCCCCCGATAGTCTAGGCCTATAGCAGCATAACTAAGGGATGGTTCAGGACTCACCTGATCCAGCCCTAACTATAAGCTTTATCAAAGAGGAATGTCTTAAGCCTACTCTTGAATGTGGTGAGGGTGTCTGCCTCCCGAACCACAACTGGAAGCTGGTTCCACAGGAGAGGAGCTTGGTAACTGAAGGCTCTGGCTCCTGTTCTACTTTTAGAGACTATAGGAACCACAAGTAGCCCAGCATTTAGAGAACGTAGTGTTCTAGTGGGGTAATAGGGTACTATGAGCTCTTCAAGATATGAAGGGGCCTGACCATGAAGAGCTTTATAGGTGAGGAGGAGGATTTTAAATTCTATTCTACATTTTACAGGGAGCCAATGCAGAGAAGCTAGTACAGGAGAGATGTGATCTCTTTTTCTAGTTCCTGTCAGTACTCGTGCTGCAGCGTTCTGAATTAATTGGAGCGTTTTAATGGACTTATTGGGGCAACCTGATAATAAAGAGTTGCAGTAATCCAGCCTTGAAGTAACAAATGCATGGATTAGTTTTTCTGCATCTGTCTGTGATAGTATGTGTCTAATTTTTCTAATATTACGTAAATGAAAGAAGGCAGTCCTAGAGGTCTGCTTTATGTGGGAGTTAAAAGACAAATCCTGATCAAAGATAACTCCAAGATTCCTGACAGTGGTGCTAGAGGCCAAGTTAATGCCATCTAGAGTAACTATATCTTTAGACAGTGAGTCTCTAAGGTTTCTGGGGCCAAGAACAAGAATTTCGGTTTTGTCTGAGTTAACATCAGAAAATTGCAGCTCATCCAGGATTTTACATCAACTCCCTATTGTGCTCATACGTTATATGAAACTTCCCCAGGAGCACTGTTAAAGTATTTAGGAGGAGGCACTGACTCAGCCCAGGGGCAATCCACCTCCTCAGGAGCAGCCAAGGCTGATGAATCAGGTGATCAAACACTGTCACCATATATATTTCATTGCTAGTCAAATGATCTCATTAAGATATACTAATATAGATATAATCATATGACAAGGGACGTGTTTTTCATTAAGGTCCATCTCTGTCCTCTGCTCCATCCACTGTGCCCACTGTCCTCTCTGCAACCTCAGCTGTTCCTGGTAAGTTAACAACAGAACAGCCTTTATAATTGCTCAGTGTACAGCAGAATATTCTGAGATGAATAATTTTGTCCAAAAATATTATTTTAATTTCCCTATTGGTCCTTCATCTTTGGTCATGGAGATTGATGTGTCTTCTTCAGCATCCAGTTTGGAGCAGGGATCAGCAGCTCCGCCAGTTGACCCAGCTGAGTGTCCCTGTTTCCTGTCAGACTCAGAAAGGACTGAACAGGTATTAAGAGGGCCACTGCTATAAAGGACACATTCACATTCCCAAAAAGACACATGGCAGTAATAGAGGGCCCAAAAATCCAATTTTGCTTAGGTCCCCATGGAGGCTTGGGCCGGCCCTGTTGACAAATCACACATTTTTAATCAACTATCTGTACAAACCGGTTAGTACCAAGAACTCAGGTGTTGATGGTGTTTGTTCTTTATAAAAGAGGTTTCTCTGTTGTTCTCTCAGGCTGTGGCAGAGATTGGGGACTCGAGTTTGCGACTCGGACTCGAGACGCACTTAAGTCGCACACACAGAGACTTCAGACTTGACTTGGACTCGTGTTTTGGGACTCGTGAACAATCATTATGTTTTCTTTTTTGGCGTATTAATACTGAGGAAACTCTGAAACGTCTGACGAGCTTAATGTGATTCCTTCCTTTGTTTCATGGTAACCATATTACACATTGGGTGCGCGCCTCGCAGCCTCACGCACTAGTACCTCGGATGACGACTATGGCGACCGGCGGCACGCCTGCAGCTGCTGCTGTACCATTTGTGATTACATTTGGTTATAAAAACTTCAAACAGGACGGCATCAACAAAGGAGCACTGACTGCAAAGTCTGCAGTACCCCAATCAAGGATGCTGGATCCACCACATCACATTTTATCAGGCACCTGAAAACTCACCCGGAGAGGTCAGTCACATTAGAGCTTATGGACGGTTAGCTCAGCATCAGCTATGTAACGTTCACTTAGCTTGCTACTAGCTTTGTAACTGAATACTTGAATAGATGAGTGAATGTTAGTTTGCTTGTCGCACTTGTTTGCATTGAGTGGCGTTGACATGACGTAAAAAAAAAAAAAAGGTAACGTTAATCATCTACATTGCCACCATCTACTGGCTAACGTTAACCATAGAAAAATACAGAGTTATACTGTCGGCTTACAGGCAGGTTACAGGTTCATTGATGACCACGTAACGTTAATGTTACAGGTTTACCAGGTTACCATTCCACTGAGTTTGAGTGAGAGGATAGAGGAATGTGTCATTAGAGACCCAGTGTAATTAAACACTACGGTTGCAGAGTGCAAACCTTTAACTTTTTTGTCCACTGGCAAAATGGCTAGACTAGTGAATGTTGAAATGTTACCAGCTACTCAATAGATTACCATTGTTATTTTGGCTGGTGAGTGCAGCATACAGTACCAGCCACTTGCATGACTTACCAGCACCTGAATGGTGTTAATTTTGTGTCCAGCAGATGTAGCTAATTATAACTGAGATTGGATGATTAGTTATTATTGCATGACTAATAATGTTAGATTTACAAGATTACAAGATTACTTTATTTGTCACATACAGAAGTCCCAGAGTAACATGCAGTGAAATGTCTCCTGGTTACTCCTAAACTGGAAAAATACGTGCAAGGGTGTGTGTGTATGTGTGTGTGTCAGGAGTCCTGGTGGTGGGGGGAGTGGTCAACTTGAGTTCTGGTTCAGGAGTCTAATGGCCTGAGGAAATAGCAATATTTTCCTGTTACCCTGAGTTAGTCTATATCTTTTTTTAGCAACCCTCTCTATAATCAGAAATAAAAGATTGATATATAGCCTGCAACATTACTTTAGATCCAGTTCTTCTCTCACAAACATGTGGTTCCAGATGTGTTTTGCTACACATACATTTTTAGCTATATCATCCAGATCTTATTACTATAATTAACAGCCTAATTTTCCATGTTGTTCATCTACAGGTTTTCTGAATTCAACAGAGCGAAAAAAGTGGCCAGTGGCAGTGCAGAGGGACAGAGCAGCCTTGACTCTTTCTTAACAAAACCAGGTGTGCAGATATACAGCCAGGGCCATCCCAGGCAGAAGGCCATTACTGAAACCATAATACAGGATCTCATCATTTCATGCAATCTGCCTCTGTCTTTGATTGACAAGCCTAGCTTCAAGAATTTCATGTCAGTGGTAGAGGAGAGATACTGCCCAGTAAGTCAAAACACCGTAACCAGACATCTGAGTGAGCTAGCAGCAGACAAAGAGTCCAAGATCAAATCCAAACTAGAAAAGACAGACAATGTGTCTGTGACTGTTGATATTTGGACTGACCGAAGCATGCGTGGCTTTTTAGGGGTAAACAGCCCACTTCATGGAGATAGAGAAAAACAACCCAAGCCTGCAGACAGTTCTCTTAAGTTGTGAACGATCTACAGTGTCACACACTGGAGAAAGAATAAGTGAAAAATTTGAGGAAATATGTGACAACTTCAATATAAAACACAAATTAGATTACATTATCTGTGACAACGCGTCAAATATGAGGAAAGCCTTCACAGTTTGTTTCCCCTCTGCAACAACAACTGAGAGTGAAGATGGTGAAGACGACCTGGAAAACAGCAACTTGAGGAGGATATAAGTGAGAATTTCCAGGACGATGTGGAAACTATCCAGAGCAGCTGCTGTCAACAGCGCCTACAGTGTTTTGCACATTCATTACAGCTTGTGGATGGACTGAAAGAGACTTGTACCTTAACTATGAGAACCAACACTGTGTTTTATGTCTTTCCAGGTACAGCAGTGAGCAGTGACCTACAGTCTACACAGCCCAGTGAAGTTAAACATATTATATATTACATAATATTAACAACATTAGTCAAGCTGTTGTTTCTAGGGAAGAAACAGCCAGTAAATGTACCAAAGTAATCAGAGTAATAGTATGATGATTACTGTAACCTCCCATCTGTTATATTCTTTATACACATTAGTTTACTGAGACCATGGAAACAGAAACCTGGAATACTTTATCCTGTACAACATGTCAACATAACTGAAGGAATCACTCATCTAATAAAGTCAATTGTTTATGTGGTTGAAAAACTGCTAAGTAACCAACTGTTAACAGTACTGTATCCATATTTCATAGTCTGATATTTTAACTAAGTATTATTACCAAAGTTCACCTTCAGATATTTGTAAAAGCTGCAATTATGTTTGAACCCCATTAAAAATACTGTATACTGAATATTCTATCATTTATATTATATATTGTGATGTCATTTATCTTCCAACATAATAAAGTTTGAATGAGAGACAGTAATGTATTGTGTTGCTTACAGTCATTTACTACAAGTTAAAATTTCACACAAATTTCCACAAGCCTTTTTGCACCGACCTCCACCCCAGCTCCTCCTTTTTATGTTGTTTCTAATTAATCAATGTCATTTTCTGATTGCCATTGATGCTTGCTCTGTTCTGTACCCTGGGGGGTCTCTGCTGCCGCTCTCCTTGTCTTAAACTTTTCCATGTATGCACATGGAAGGGCAGGGAGGTGTGCTCTCCCTGCCTTAAGGTTTTCCACGTAGGCACGCGGAAGGACAAGGAGGTCCCAGAACAGAGCCATACCGCCAAATGTAAAATTCTGCTTGGGATATAAGATATTTTGACAAAAGTGGTCCTGACTGAACTATTGTGTTGTCCCCATGAAAAGATAATGTTAATACAATATTTGTAAAACTGTGTGGGGGGGGTGTAACTTTACTCACTGTCGTGATATAACTGTTACTGCTAGCTGAGGTAACTTAGCATGCAACCAGTGCCAGGTTCCAACTTACCGTTTTGTGGCTGAACTCGGTTCATTCACCGAAGGCTTCAAACGTGGGTCGAACAACTTGCTTGCTACAACGTCAGTTGTCGAAAATTCTTTGTCTTTGTTCTGTTCCGTCTCAAAAGTTCAGAGTCATCAATGCCACTCTGTCAAAACTGGTATAAACTAGATTTTTGGCGGTTGCATGGGTGAATTCAATGCGTTGCTATTAGTAACAGGCAAAACTTGATGATATTGAGTTGTTGGAGCTCAAACACATAATTACAATAAGATAGGCCATTAAAAAGTACAGTTTACTCAGAATTCATAATTAATGTAAAGAAATGACACATGTTTAAGTAATAGAAACTCAGTTTGTTTGAGTAGAAACTACTGATTGGACTTAAAAACACAATTACAATAAGAAAGGACATGAAAAAGTTCAGCTTAATCAGAATTAACAAGTAATGTCAATAAATTAGACACATTTAAGTAATATGAACTCAATCTCTTTGAGTTGAATCAAAATCTGGGTTTAGAGTGCAGACAGTAAAATAAGACGACTGAACGTTGCAGGGGAAAGACCAGTGAGGGGAAAATGAGACCTAATACCATACAACGTCAACTGGTGGCCCGCGACCAAATCCGGCCCGCCAGAGATCTTCATCCGGCCCCCAGAATAATTCTGAATTCAGGAATGGCCTAGTGAAGAGGAAAAAGTATGCTTCTATATTTATTTATTTTTAAATCAAATGAAAGAAACACCTTCTGAAAATTAGCTTGTGCCATAGCCTGCCTTCAATCAAAAATGACGATAAACTCATTTAACATATTTTATTGTTTCACGTGTTATTTTTTTCACAAATGTCAAAATTTTCCTCGCCTGGGATTTGCGCTCAATTGTGGTGTCTCAAAAACAAACATCAACATAACAGAGAAGAACATGGGAATTGCAAGCCTTGCACATCAGCAAATAGTTATAATGACAAATAAAAGTGACTGTGATCCAACAAATAAATACAAATAAATAAAACCAAGAAAATCACAAGACTAAAATACTCACGTTTGCTTAATGGGAGAAGTTACATTTCCCCTTCAACACAATCTTTTGACATCGGGCTTGACAGCTGTCAGGCTTATGCGCAAGCAGTCCTCTAAAGACTGGTTTGACAGTCGGTTCCGCTCATGCGTTTTTATAGAGTTCATTTTTGAGAACGCAGCTTCACAGGTGTATGTTGATCCGAACATGGTGAGCACATACATGGCCAATGTCTTCAGTGTGTCATACTCTTGGGGACAAGCCACCCAAAAGGCGCTCAAGCTTTGAGCACCACAGAGAGCAGCCTTCATGTCACCAGCGGCCTGGATGTCAATCAGTTCACTTTGAATAGCCGCCTCATCCAGTGGCATCACCTTCTTCACGTTAGCAGAGAATTCTCCACCTGGGCTGATAGTGAACGGGTCACGAACGATTCCAATGACATCCCTGGAAATGGCAAAGTCATCAAATCTGGCAGAGAAATTTTCCCTCAGCTGTGTGATAAATGTCTTCATGTTCTCTGTGACCTTGCTGTGACCCACTGTCTTAAGTGTGCTAAAGTGTAGCAGCCTCCCCGACAACAAATCTTCGTGGAATAGACCAAGTTTGTTTCCAAAGGCATCAAGTTTTTCCACCATATTCACCATGTAGTTGTAGAATTAGCGCGTTCAAATGGGAAAATATGTCTGTTAAAAATGCAACATTGCACATGTATTCTGTGTCTTACATGATGCGCTGGTGGTCAGCTGCCGCTTTAGATTGACTTTGCATTAAAAATCCACAACTTGATCCCTGAGTTCAACGAAACGCTCCAGTGCTTTGCCCTTACTGAGCCAGCGCACGTCATTGTGGAGTAAGAGGTCATCATGAGAGGCTTCAGATTCCTGCACAAATTTTCGGAACAAACGGTGCTGTGTGCTTGAATTCCCCCTGATGAAGTTAATTATTTTCTTTGTTTTGTCCATAACCTCTTTAAGATCACCTCTTAATTTTGCGCACAGCACGCTTTGGTGAATGAGACAGTGAAGTGCGTTAACGCTGGGAGCGACAGTCTTAATTCTGCTCACTAGTCCCCTGTTCCTACCAATCATGGCAGGAGCACCATCTGTGACAACCAGGTTGACTTCTTCAAATGACAGTCCATGCTTTTGAAATAGTTCCTCCAGCTTTCCAAAGATAATAACGCCAGAGGTCAGGCCCTCCAGTGGAATCAAGGCCAGCAGCTCTTCTTTGAAATCTTTGCCATCAAAATATCTGACGAAAACGCACATTTGGGAAATGTCAGTATTGTCGGTGGACTCATCAATAGCCAGCGATAGGTATCTGGCTTCTTTGATCTCATCAATTACAAGTCGCTGGATATCCTCTGCCAAAACAGAGCAGAACAGCAGTTTTAGCAGACAGAGGTATCTGCTTAACAGACGCAATTATCCTGTCCGTAGATTTGTCAGTGGCAAGTTCCTCCAGAACAGCCACCATGCACTCCTTAAAAACCTCAGCATCGGTAAATGGCTTGTTATGCCTGGAGAGTACCCAGGCAGCCTGTAGAGAAGCACTTGTTGCCCTCTCTTGTTCAGTTGAAGTTCGGTTAATAATTCCACTGGCATGGGAGTACTGAGACTCCTTGAAGCTTGAGTGCTTTGTGCTGTGGTGACGCCTCAGATTGTACTCTTTGGCGACAGCGACAGTTTCGTTACAAATGAGGCACACAGGTACAGCATTTTTAAAGGTTGGCTCTATGAATAGGTACTTATCAGTCCATTCCTCATTAAAACTACGGTTCTCTGAATCAATTTTCTGCTTAAGACTCTTTGAGAGTGTCATTTTTCATTCAAATATATTCAGAAGACCTTCCTTCTTCAAGTGTTCTCCACAAACTACGACCTGCATTTGACATTGATTGACAGCTTGACAGCCTCACAAATATGAAGCCTAAAATATTTCTATCGCCCCCTAGTGGCCTAATAAAAAAATAAAAAATAAAAAGATATATATAAATATATATATATATATATATATATATATATATATATATTACATAATATTATATATTATAAATATATATATTTATAAAATAATAATAAATTTGGAATGGAAATCAGTTTATCAAATAATAACATATTACTCAGGATACAATACTAATTTTATTTTATTTTACAAGCATCTGGCCCTTACAGTGTCTGCAGAGAAAAATTCTGGCCCTTGGACAAATCTAGTTGATGACCCCTGCCTTATACCATCGATCTTGCCAATGAAAAAAGACAGGAGGAGCAGGAGTAGATGGAGTTACAAGCTGGTTGATAGTAGTAAACAAAAACCTTGGGTTATGTTTATTGCTAACAATCAGGTCAGAAAAGTAGGCAGCTCGCACCTCTTTAATAGTTGGTTCAAGTTAAACAGTAGTTCCCTCATGTAGAGGCGGTGGACTTCTTTGTTGTCTTATATTGTTGTTGATCCAGGGAGTTTTATTAATAACTGGGACAGCCCTGGATGTATGTGGAGCAGAAAAATCAAGGGCTAAAATTATTATTAATTTATTATTAAATTATTAAACCAGCTAAATTGATTGGATTGGAGAAGTAAAGAGGAGAATTGGCCAAACTAGAAAAATGGCTACAAAATGTGGCTGCTGACTGATTATTAAAGAGGCGAGAGTGGATTATACGTTTCTGGGATGGTGAAGCAGTTATAAAATGAGTATCAAACGTAATACATTTGTGGTCAGAGACAAAATCATGCATATTCAGGGACCAAGAGACAGATCCAGAGTAAAAACTAAGTGTGCCCACGGTTATGTGTAGGGCCTGAGACGTGCTGCACAAGGTTAAAAGATTTCCACTAGCAGGGAACACTCCCTTGGCTTCAGCCAGGTTTTAGTAAGAAACAGAAAATAAAGGTTATGGGATGTAATTAGATCATTGAGAATGAAGGATTTATTAGACATAGACTGTGCATTCAGAA